CATATTTGTTTTAAATATAGATTACATCTTTTCAAAAAAATAAAAATTCAATTCAGTCAGGATGATTTTAATTAGATTGACTAAGTGAAGAATAAAACTAAGACTTCGGAAGAAATACAAACCGTACATAAGCTCCTGAAAGAAGAAATTTCTAACGTAAATATTCAATTGCAGCACAATTGAATTAAATTAAATTAAAAAAAAACGCATTGAAAAGATACAGAGAATATAATTCAAAAGTCGAAATATGTCCTCCCTGAACCAGCTCCAGAAAATATATCAAATAGAGCATTCGCAATAAATAATTGCTTGCAGAGTAACAGTTAAAAATATATTTATTTTTATATCAGAACCCTAACACTAAGATAAAATTTTGATGATCGATAAAGTCGGTCGCCATCGCACATAAAATATATGGCACATATGGACGAGCGAATTATGTAAATTAGTCTATACGGTTTTCTAAATTCCGTATGTTTAAAATATTTGAACATTAAGAATCCTTAATCTATGCATTCGGCACAATCGAATAAACGGTACGTATTAAATTTGACACGATAAACAGTGGAAAAACGACTTACACTGAACGTAAAGAAAGCAAAGTTGAAACTCGTTTGTTTCATTTGCCTCACGGCCAAATCCCACAAACATATTTTGATAAAATATCTTGATAAAATAGCCACGGAGTAAGTGCCGATCCATTCATCTTTTCACAGAATCACATTATTTAAAAAAAACTAAGAATAATAATAAATAAAATAAAACAATGTGTTTTAGCAGATATGATAATTGCTATCATTTTCAACAAACGTACAGTAAAAAATGGATATCAAACGAACGCATATCGAATTAAAGAGTAAAATTGTATCAATGGATACCTAATCCTTTTGATCTCTTCCGAAATGGAAGACTAATAATGAGAAATATAATAAAAGCAAATTTATAAAGTAATAAAATACAATTTTCATTTCGAATGTCGCGGCAGAACCGTGTTTTATTACTGCAGAATTACATATAAATAAAATAATTGCTAATAATAGAAAATAGACCTTGAACGTTACATATACTGAATAACACCTGGCAAACGACGTTAAGTAAAATGTTGCGATTGAATCCAAAAATTTTGGTTTATTATTGATTTGATTATGAAACAAATATCACATCACCATACCAATTACACGGTTATTATAGATAAATAAGACGCAAATCATTTTTAAAATTAAATATTGTTTGAATTATTATTAATAATTAAAATTTATGTGTTGGAATGAGGAAAAAGCTGAATATACGATTAATCAATTATAATATCATACATTTACAATGCTATAAGAACAAGATTCAAAAGTACCATAAAACTTTACAACTTTGCATACATATTATATATAAAGTAAAATAATTGAATTGTTTCTGTATTGTTCCCACTTACAACTATGCCATATTTTATCAGTTTTTGTTGTATTTTTTGTTAGACGACAGTTTGCAACATAAAGTATCTATATATCGGAATTGGCTCTTCTTCAATATGGCAATCTTCAATATCTGTGTATTCTCACATCCTCAATAATGAGGATGGTGAGGTATATATTTACTTTTCATATAGTAAAAATCAAAAATATAATAATTCTAAAATAGGCAAATAATATTTATTGTTCTCCAACGTCATAAATTGGTTTGGACTTACAACTCTTTCTATATAAATCTTAAAATGCAAAATACAATCCTTCGGCGAATAACAAGTAAACTAGTGGTGCTTGGCATCGTGCCTTAAATTAAATTGCTGGTACTTCCCGTACCAAAAACTAAATTATTAAAAAAACTTTGCAAAACTTTGAAAAAATTAGATTTTTGAGAAACCTTGAAATTTATGAAAAAAAAATGACTTTTTTAAAAAAAAATATTTTGTTTATATTTTGATTTTTTTGAAAATTGTGAACATTTTTTAAGCAATCGTGCTACATTGGTGTCGAAATTATCAAAGCTCGTAAGCGCCGCGTAGTCTAACGTGTAAACATTGGTACGGAACCCATATAAACGTACACAAAATTTGTACTTATTGTTATGATCTATATAAAATATCTGATAATACAACGTAGATATGTCTAATGTTCATTTTTGACCGCCAAATGGTATTGTTTTTTACTTTTTTTATTGAATCTCCGGAGACGCTGGACCCTGCCTCTACAAAAATTTTACCAGTTGTTCATTTCGTAAATACAAGTAAAATGGTTTTTAAATTATTTGAATCAGACGCTACGTTATCTCAAAAACTGAAATATTATTTTTGGCACTTTTTACCCCGTATCTCCGAAGCGGCTAGACCTGCCTTTGCCAAAAACTAATCAGCACATCTCCTTATCAGTAGGAATCGAATGTTTTCTGAATTATTCAAATCGTGTTTGCGAAATCGTCGACGAAAATTTGTATCCGCACACACACACTAAGGTTTTTTTTCTAAGGTATGCCAAATGTTCAGAAACCTCTGAAACGTAAAGATATATAAACATTTGCATTTTCGATTTTTTTTTTTGCGATGCCTATGATATAACATACCCTATGAAAAGTTTAAAAAAATTAACTTTCGAGCTATCCAATAATCATATAATCATTATAACAGTTTTATCTCAAAACATTTTTACAAAATATGTATATGAATATATGATTAAAATCAGAAACTCGATGAATATTTTAATAAATTTATTTTTAAGAAATGAATATAAGTCGGCAAAGAGGCCATAGCATTCAATTTGAATCAAAGATATGATTCAGCTCGCCGTCTATGGACGCATTAACATAAACAGGCATGGAAAATGTGGCTCGTGTTTAATACGAATCAAGACTCTACATAAATGACTATATAAATGACAGGAAGAAGAACAATCCGGAGAAATCTATCTTTAAAGAGCTTCAACAAATCAACACAAAACATATGTCTCAATATAAAGAATATATCTAAAACTTGGTCTGCTATGAAACAGGAACCTATCTGTACAGCCTTTAAGCAAAGCATGATTAAAATTAACATTTATTGTTGTAAATTATATTTGATAGTAATAGTGTATCTGTGTATTAACACTTCTATATACATGTCAAATTGTGATACTTAAGCACCTGTCGTAAATTTAATGGAGAATTCAATTGATTAAATTAGAAGCATTATTATGTATTCTCAGCAAATAATTATATGTTCAAAATAAACAAAAAATATATTCTGAATCTTAGCAATCTTGTTTTTTTATTAATTTTGCGTAGGGTAAATTATAGTAATCGCAAAAATTTGAAAATGAAAACTATTACCTTAGAAAAAATTGATGTATCTGTGTGTATGTGTATGTATGTGCGGATACAAATTTTCATTAACGATTTCGGGAAGGTCGCGAAGGAATTAAGGGAAGTTCCAGCAAATTGCCTTAAGACAAGATGCCATGCACCACTAATTTTTTATATGAGTAGTAAAAATGTTGAAAAAAACAGTCCTGCCGATTGCATTATTCTCAATTTTAAGTTCCTCAATTTCATGTTGCACGTTTTTTTCTTGTAATATAGATTATGTTTTAAATCTTGAAAGCTAGAAAATAACGATAAACCATATCCTAGTCAAAGCATGTAAACTATGTATATCTCTATCAGTTTAGAAAATAACGACAATGTAAATTAAGTTAAAATTTCCACTACCGACAAAGATAATGTAGAACACCGATTTCCTTATGCTACGCATTGATATTATATGTTTATTTCTTTTAATATCTAAAATATTCAATTTCCAAACAAACTAATTAAGAACAACAAAAAATTTAATTGCTATTCTAGATATAGAAATCATATAATGAATACTGGCTGAATACAATCTTCAAAATTATATTATGTTTCAGCTTCTGTTATAGATGATTATCATACTGTTTATTGAAACTACTGTATGTGCGTTGTAATAAATAAATACTTATAATTCCAACAATCAATACGAGCATAGTAGTCACCTGTCATGAATGATTTTAAAACGCGGTTCAAATACATATCAAGAGTCGCAATCGCAGTGGAAGTAAACCGTTTAAATGTTATTCAAGAAATAATAAAAAACGGTCAAAGCGAATGTTACTTGTTCTTTAACAATAATTTTAGAAAATTGTTTTTTTTTATTTTCACTTAGGATTACTTATTTATATAAAAGTCCTGATACTTAATCGTTCAAAATTAAACATTCTCTAACCATTTACTAGTATTTTACAAACGTTTTCAATGTGCTAACGTAATAAAAATGAAATTCTAAAACGTGACTTGTACAAAATAAGCCGTATATTTTACAATCGTTGACAAAATTTCAAACAATTTCGCAAAATAGCTACATATTTAACAACACCCTCAAAACGCCAATTTCATATAAGCTCAGATCTAAATTCTGGATTAGTCGAAATTAGTTAATAAAGAAAATAAAAGTATAATACTTTGAATAAAAGTATAATACTTGCTGGTCTGGCGGTAAAATCTATATTAATCTCGAAATTCGCGAGTGGAATGGGATAATATATAAAACTTAAAATAATGTATTTGCACGATATATAATGTTTAATTAGAATTGAGTAAATAAAATAACCAAAAATAAATACTAAAACTTTAGTACCAACACAAATTAAATACATTGCAATTATTTTTGATAACATACAGTAGAAGTTATTTGATGATGAACCATATTTATTAAGGAAAATGAAACCAATCACCAAACCATTTTGTTCATATGGTACGGACAAAATGACATGCATAGATACTAGTTTTTAAGAAAGTTGTTCATAAAAAATCGTTTAGTCCTGTTTGGGACATCAACTCATAACGAACGAGCCCAAAGGGATTGCAATAA